TTGTAAATCCTACTGGGAAACCACCCCATGCTGTCAGATGACATGGTTTTCAGGCACGTCTAAACAGACTAGTTGAATTAAAGACCAGCTCCAGACTTGATGTTGCTGAGCTCCTCAGCTCCATCTTGCCATCCTGATTGATCGAGGAGATGGATCTATAGTTAAAGTGGCATAGTACTTTGAGGGGTTAGTCATTAGAGCCCACTGCTTTGTCTTGGGAAGGTAACTTCTTGCTTGGCTAGGTTATGGAAGCTAAGGAGTGACGTCAAGATGTGGTCTGGCCAGAATGTGCAGATAACCATAGCACTCTTCTCCTCCATCGGGCATGGATTTAGCCTCCTTTAATTCCTGCAGTGACACAGGAGCCTCCAAATACCAAATTATTATCAGGCGGTCTTGGGGGAACCTCTGGGCCCTGCAATAAAGTAGACAGACTTTCTATTGGAAAGTGCTCAGGAGCAATTCAGCCCTGTTCAGATCGTGCTAATATCCTGCAAACTCTCTCTGGACTTGGTAAATGAACACCTCACCTAGCTCCTGATGGTAAGAAAAGTACATTGGAAGATATAATTTATTGTCATCCCTCACTTAAACAACCCTATGAATTATTTAAAGAAATCTGATTTGATCATGTTTGTTTATTTGCTGATTTGTTTTTTTTTTTTGGTAAAATATAGCTATGCAATAATTGAGGCTATATCATAGTGGACAAGCCACTTGTGAGCATCTGCTTTAAAATAAGGTGTTTCTGTTCATTGATATTTAATGTCTACTCAGAAGGACCTCAAACAGGTGGTAGATTATGGACCAAACTTTGACTGACACTCATGGATTCTTATTTTTCTTACCCAGTTTTAAATCTTGGAGAATTCATAGGACATAAATGCCTGTTCTGGCTGGACAATCTGGAGTATCTGGTATACCAAGCTCATGTTTCAGCACAGTCCTCACTAGCCCATATCATTTCATGATCCATCCTGCTTCTCACATTGGCCTTCCTGACCCCTGCAGGTAATTGGCACTTAACACCTTTGTTCTAATCTATCCTATCCTTGTGCTCATCATGTTGCATTTGATTATACAATAGGAATTCAAAATGTCCATGAAAAGTAGAATTAAAATCCAAGTTTATTTTGGTACAGAATATTTTTAAATTCACACACAGTCTTTCCATAACATACATTTTCCATGAAATTTTGAAGACTCTGGATGGTAATATAACTAGTAGCCTTCCCAAGGAGACTCCCCAAGAACAGGGAACAAGCCATCATTATCACCAAATGTCTGTTTCCTAGGATTTCTTGGAGTATTATAGATTATCAGTAAATATCTGATGAGTTCAATTTCACTAAATTAGATTCTCACAACTCAGTGAAAATAGATGAGGATTACTCTTTGCGAGTTCACACATATATTCTAAACCCAACAGCTTTGAATAGCATGTAGCTTTAGAAAAGAGAAGCAAATGTGCTAGTTAGTGGCCCAAAACTCTGACTGGTCCAGAAGGATGATGATGGTGCACTGTGTGCATGATATTTTACTTTAAGCAGATGGGAAAAATTCTAAACTTTCTCTGAGATCTTAATTCTTTTTTTAGAGGTAACTTATGCAACTTCTTGGAAAAACCCTTCTTTATAGATTCTTTAGAAGTTAGCTTGTAAAAAAGTATTTAATGGAAAGGCCAGCCGGTGGCATGATGGGTAAGGTGGCTGGATCCCACATGGCCAACTGTGTGGTTTGAGTCCCAGACACAGCATGACAGCTTGAAAAACATGCTGGGTGTGTATGTGTGCATGCTCAAAATCCCAGGAAGAGAATGGAAGAGAAAGGATTGCAGCATGACCATGTCCTGTTGGGGTGCTTTCTCACTTTTTTTCCCTCTCTCTCTGTCTCTCTCCAGTGAGTACGCACCCTTTAGCAAATAAAAAAAGAAAAGAATGAGAATTGAAAGCTAAAGTCCTCAAGTTTCATGAGTCTATAGCAATACATCCTATCTTTTCCTTTTGAAATATTTTATTTTATGGTTTAGCTATGAAACATTTTAATTTCTGGATGATTGCAATTAGAATGTCCAAAGGAATTTTTTGTTAAAAGCTTATTTCTGATAAAAGTGTTATTTAAATCTGTTTTAATTGGTCACTATATTGTTGGAAAAATGTATAATAAACTACTAGGTAGGTAAGTTTGCTAGGAATAAAGCTAGTAAAAAAGACTTTGAATCATTGTTATTTTCCAGCAATTAATATTTCAGCAATATAGAGCCACATCTAGTCAACATCTAGCCAACAGCAAAAGTGCATCATGTCCATGCTATGAAGGAATAATCCAACTGGTTAAATTTCTGTTCTCCAGGAGTTTACCATCTAATCTAGACTAGACTACAGATGCACAGTAGTGGTCATACTTGCTACTTAGCAGAAGGCAAACGAAGCATTGAAAATAAGAGAAAATAATTCTAGGATAAATAGTGAATTTAGGAAAGGATGAAAGAAAGGGCAGAACTAAATTTCTTCTTCATTCTCATTTCTTAAAAAAATGATTCATGGAACATGTCTAATTTTAAGTGTTCTTAAAATCATGAAAGAAAATATATGGCTTCATGCCTGGAAAAAAAAAAGAAAAGAAAATTTCTTCTGGTATAAGATGAGAAGTGACTGAGAACACTAAGCCAGGAAAGGACGGTGAAGGGCCCAGAGAGACTTTACAAGAAAGGAACAGCCAGATGGAGAATCAGTGGTTGGGAGCTTTGGGTAGAGGCCAGAAGCTGAGGGGAGGCTGCAGGTCTCCTCAACTCTCTTCCAATTCCTTCTATGTGGGGGAGGCACATACCGGCTGAGCCAAAAACCCAAGAATCTTCCCAAAATAACCAAAATGTCTAATCCAAAATCTGCAAAACACTGGGTACACATGTGCATGCCTTGATCCGGACTGGGAGAAATTGGGGGTGGATCACAGCATGAAAACCCTGTTGGGGTGCCTCTCTCTCTCTCGTTTTTCTTTCTCTCTCTCAGAAGAAGTAAATAAATAAATTTTGCGAAAATCTTTGCAAAAATCTCCACAGACTTTAGATTGAGGAAATAACCTTTGAAAACTTTTTAAAGGATTTCTAAGAAAGTAAACACATTCAGATAGAAGCACCGACTCAGCAGTCACTCCATTTGCTTTTTCCTGCTGGATCTCATTTATTATTTTGTTTGTTTGCTTTCTTGCTCGTTTGTTCATTTTCTGCTATTGGACTTGTTGGGTTGATGGTATCTACTTGACTATTCAGCTTTATCTTTCCTCCATCAACAAAGGAAAGCAAACTTTTTAAGGGCATGTCGATTTTAGTCAACCTCAATTATAAGACAGCCTCAGGCTAACTGCACTACATCATATAGCCTGCTACTGGTAATGACAGAGGTGTCAACAAACTCCATTCCTAGGGAGAACAATCAAAATGATGACAGAGTCTCCCATCACAGTACACTGCTTTGCCCTGTTACATATTTGTTAGGCAAACAGGGCATTTCAAGGGCTTTTGGAGGCTGCTTACCTCATCACAGTGACCATATCAGATTAATAATACTTTGATTTTTTGTGTTTGTGTTTTATATATTGTGGCCTTGATATATGTCAGCACTGCCTTATTTTTTTTTAAGAATTATTTATTTAGCTTTATTTATTTTAATTTGACCAAAGAGGAACAGAGAGAGTAAGAATAAGAGAGAGCGAGAGCAAGCCACCAGGTCCAGGACTCGAACCACGGTCGGCCATGTGGGAATCCAGTGCCCTTAACCACCAAGCCACCTGTCAGCTCCCAATTTTTAAATCATACCTTTTATTTCAAGGACCTCAATATTCTTCACACACATTGTTCTATGTTGTCATATCACACATTCAACTGAAACCTGTGGTGGGACCCATTCTCATGCATTAAAAACCAGTAATACCCTTCTTTCTAACTCTTAAATTCAACTTCAACCTTAAACATACCTTGGAATAAATTTGTATGAATAGGAGAAAATTACAGTTATTTTTCTGATATATAAGCAGACCTGATTCTCACTGCTAAACCATCTCCTGAGAGTTCTCCACAGAAAGCCAGTCTCCAAAGGCTAACCTTGTAATAGCCCTTCTTTACCTTCGAAATAGGGCTGAAAAAAAGTTTTGACGATAGAATAAGAAACTGCAGACAGACAGAAGATACCCATTCATCAGTATCAGGGAAACTCTAAGATCTGAGACACCTGATGTCCTAGGCCCTGTGGCTCCTAGGAGGGAAGGTCTGGAGTTCCCATGAGACATGCCTGTTTGCCCACTGTGGTTTTATCTGTTGTCACCCTGAAGGCTCTGCTCCATCTTTTATATTTGATCAGTTTCTCAGAAGACACCATAAGGGGATCTGAGAAAAAAATCCCAAACTTGACAACAGAGGCTAATGAGTTAATGTGGTCCTGAAAATTAAAAGTCAACGTACTTAACACGTAATCTGATGCAACATCTCCTTGCTACTGTGACCTCACAACAGGGTCTCATACTGGGAACAAAGACTGTACAAAACAACCCAAATCGATAACCACCTGCGTGCTATGTGCCTTCCTGACTACCTAGAACACAAGGTGTAATCACTTTCCATAAACTCAGTCTAAATTGCATCAGTTCATGTCATCTATGACTGAGGTATGTAAATTCTAATGATACTTCTGGTTTATGTCTCTATCTTTTTCACAAAAGGCATGGCTTGAGTCCAACGTCATGTTGACAAACGGCTTCGGAAGAGGGATCCCAAGAGAAGTCAGTATCTGCCTACAGTTCCCATCACAGCAGGAGACACACCCTGAGAATTCCATAAGCAACAGACTAAAGGCTCTATCTATTCTGTGGGCCCAAAGCCACAAGAATCCTCAGACATTTTACTACCCACCTTCTCCACTCCCCCACCTCCAGCCATCCTTGCAAACATTCCAGCTGATACAGCTAGCAGCAAATGGCCGATAATTATAAACAGCTGTACTTACATGTGTCTGGCTTGAGCTGACTGTTGGTGATGCCAAAATACTGAGGATTTTCAATGACAGGGATCTTGGTCATTCCAATAATGACAGCATCTGGGCCGCCCTCTGAAGAAGAAGGGGTATTACTCCCATTAGAGATGTGATGGAGTGGGCTGGCCGAGTCATCATCATTGCTGATAACTGAAGCTGGGCCTGGAAATAGAAAAAAAATACATATTTTCCTGTAATTTTTAATGGCTTTTTCGAGTTATAATCCACATTAAAATTCACCCATTTAAAGCATATAACTCAGTGGATTTCACGGGGTTCTGCAATAATCATTGTGACTAATTTTCGTCACCCCAATTAGCACTCACTCCCCATTCTCCTCACTGCAGCCCTAGGCATCCCTGACTACAATTTCCATCTCTATGGATCTGCCTGTTCTGGTATTTCCTTTGAATGGAACCATATAATATGTGATCTTTTGTAACTGATTTCTTTCACTTAACACTGTGTTTTCAAGGTTCATCTGTGTTGTAGCACGTGTCAGCACTTCCTTCCTGTGTATTTTGAATAATTCTCCATTATATGGATATACTGCTTTTTGTTCATCTATTCATCAGTTGATGGACATTTGGACTGTTCCAATTTTGGCTGTGATGAATGAAGTTACTAAGAACATTCACATACACGTCTCTGTGTGGACGCATGCTTTCATTTCTTTTGGGTGAAACCGCTGGGTCGTGTAGTAGCTCTACATTAAACATTTTGAGGAATTGCCAAACAGTCTTCCAAAGTGGTCGTAGCATTTTATACTCCCACCAGCTGTATATAACAGTTCTGATTTCCTCACTTCCTTCTCCTGTAATTCAATATACAGCTTTCCTCTCTGTTCTATGAATGTCTCTAGAACACTCTGTCATTGAAACTCTCAGCACAAGTCTAGGATATCTGTTTCACAAGGCACTGAAAATTAAACTAGGAGTTAAAAAAATCTGAGTTTCTTTTCTCCACTCATTGGACAAGTCACTTCCTTCTCCATACATCTATACTTATTTACACTTGCAAAATGCACAAAATAATATCTGCTTGTTATTTTGTAAGACTTGTATAAGACTAGTGATATGAAAATATACTGTAGGCACAGCCATAGTGATACAGAGGTAGAGTAATATTCTGCAATGCTGGCAGCCATAGAGAAGATCAGGGTTTTGTTCCCAGGTTGACAGGCAGGGACATGTGCTCTTGCCTATGATCCCGGCTGGTGGAGAAGTCTAGGGGGAAGATTACAGAATGAGACCCTATAGAAATGGCTTCTTTTTCTCTTTTTCTCTCTGTTTCTCTCTCTTATACAAGAGAGAAATAAAAGAAGGAAAGACATTTTTTAAATGTATTATAAATTTAAATGTGCTTCATGAATACAAATTACTACTAGGTGTTAGTAAATGAACTTTAACTGGCAGACTAGATTTATATTGGACTGTCGTATGACTCTGTCACTCTTATTACATATTCTGTAGTGCCTGCACCACTGCCTTTGTCTATAAAATACTTTAATGACAGTAATAGATCAATATCATGGCAAAGTTATCTGCTTTGCTTTTAGCTGTAATATTATTTATGGAGTCATTACTTGGATTCCTTTGTACTAAAGCAATAATCATAACATTTTTTTATGCAAGACTTACATTTTCTACCCCAAACTCTCAGAATATATATATATATATATGTGTGTGTGTGTGTGTGTGTGTGTGTGTGTATATATATATATATATATATATATATATACCCATACACACAGTGTTCTATATCACGTCTAAACAATCTATCCTTTGGCCACTAAACTCATACTGTTTGCAACCAAAAATAGATTCTCAAACATAAATATCTAAGTGAAAGCTTCAAACAATGAAGGCTACAGTGACTTGAAATAGGCACTCCATACAAGGAAGTAGACAAAATACCCTAGATATATCACATGTGTTTGTACAGTGCACTGACTGGGTGCAGGGTCCATGAAAGCAGACCATGGGCCATGACTACCACCATAATCCAAGAGAAAGATAGGAAGAGAAAGGATGTGGAGGAATGACAAGAGGGGGAGAAAAGGCAGAATCAAATACCTAGCCAAGGCAAATGCTTTCCTCAGGAGTGAAGAGTCTGAAGTGCTACTTCCTGTGAAAGATACTGCATCTCATCCAATCCCCTTCCCCAACACATTTCAGCACCTCCATCCACTCTCTACTTTTCCCCTCACACTTAACTCTTTCAATGAGAAACTCAGAGATTCTAAAGCCAAAGTCGTTTTGTCATACAGTTTTCAGTCTCCTGTGAAATATAATAATTTATTTTCCAACCTCCAAGATCCATTTTTCCCTCTCTTGGGGATTATCACAGTTTGCAGTGATAACAATTGGACATTCCCCAGCTAGCTGTGTCTTAAACAAACTATGCAGAAGGCAGCCAACTGCTATTATAGGTAATTTTTAAAGCATTCTCTCAAGGGAACATGCATTTAAGTTGTCTTTAATGATACACTCTGGCTTAATTCTGTGAACAAGTCCTCACATAACCAATTCAGAAGCCACAGAACACTCAAAGCAAAGATAAACCCAACAGTGGTGTTCATCTTGTGCCTAGCTGATCTGTGTTTAGTAAGGAGTGGGAATCCTGCCAAGAACAGTTATAAAGACAAGTTCTTTCTAATACCCCCAACCATCCCTGTTTCATGATTTGCTTCCTGCCAGGTCTAGATCATCTAGATTCTAACCAGTGACATAAAATGGAGAAATACTATGCTAAGGTTTCTGCATCTAGTCCCTAAAATCTTCTTACCACTGGTTCCTTTGCTTAGTTCCCAAAGCAGTTGTTACCTCCTATGAGGTTACCAAAGCACACTACCATCTGAATTCCATACAATCACGGCTGCACATTTCTCAACACATGTCAGGCTCTACCCATACCCCAGAGATATAAGAGTTGTCATTTCCAAATACATCACATGCTATTAGAAGGCCAGCAATGTTTCCTTTTGGAACTTAACAATGATTAAAAATACAGTGATCTTGATTGATCTCTTCTCTGATTCTCCTCTGGCCCAGATCAGGCTATGAATATCACAGTAGTAGTCAATGATTTTTGAAAAGGTCAATACCTAGAAGGCAGTCTTGATATTCTTCCAGGTATCCTGAAGTTCTTGTCAATGACACAGTGGAACCTTAACTAAAAGAGTACAACCAAGGGACTTACTCTCTGTTTCTACTTCTCCTCCAGAGGACACTCCTTCCTCCCCCTGACCTCTCCAGTTAAAAAACCCAACTGTAATGTCACAGACACAAGAGAACAGGCTCTTGTTTAGGGGCTTGGGGAATGGGATTAAGTAGAGAAATAGTACAAAACACTATAGGTAATTTTCCAAAAGCCTTTTTACTTTGCCAGAAAGTCACTGTTCATAAATCAGGGCAACACATAAACCTCAACAATTTATCAAGTAGAATATACATTCAAGTGCTGTTTTCTTCATTATTGATGTTCTCAGACCTGGGAGATTGAGTGGCTGGCAAGGTTGCAGGGATTAAGCCCATTTTTCTATGAACATTTTGATATAATGGAATACAGAGCACAGCAAGTGGGGAAGGGGAAAAAGCTCTCAACGGGGACAATGAATGTCTATATAATTTGACAGCAGCCTGTCTGTGCATATAACAGAGTGTGTCATTGTATGTCTGTGCATGTGTTTGAGCAGACATTATGAAAAAAGGCAGACAGAAGAAGAGTCAAGGGTACATCCCGGTATGTTACAAGAAATTTATACAAGGACTTGAAGAATGTATTATAATATGAATATGAAGTTTTAAATTGCTGGGTATGTGCACACTAACTGAGTTTGAGGTAGATAGTTCTAATTACTGAGGTGACAAACAAGAGTTATGCCTGGAAACATTTTTAGCACATTTTTATTTTAATGTTTCTCAGGTACAATGAGGCATTTTTTTCTTTTATTAGAGCTGTCTGGTAACATATCCTACACATAAGACTTTGAAGACATTTCTAAGCCAAATTTTGACTTATTTTCTCATGATAAGAACCATAAAGGTCATCTAGGAAAGGAGTTTCCTTCTCTCAATACCAACAATGCCTTTTAAGTGAGGGGAAGGATTATTACCTTGGCAGTTGTATTAACCATGCCATTCTACTTCCTGGATTCTGATGCTTCAGCTTCTGGGGCCCTTTTGACACTGAAGGGTTCCTGGAGAGAGTAAATACCTTCCTTGCGAGCGTATTGAATATACAAACCGCCAATCCAGTGTCCACACCTCCTAATCACCTTTATTATCTGACTCTCATTATCTGACTGTCCTGATCACTCCAGAATCAGTTATTAGGACAGCCCCTATGTTGAAATGACCCAAACTAGCCAATCCTAAACCTGCTCTCTGGTCTTGTCTAGTGTTTCTCATGGAAATCATGAGTAAGGCTTTTGCCCACACTCCCTCTTGTCCTCTCTGCCTCTTGACAACTTTGGTGTTTTTCTTCATAACCCTCGGAACACGTCACACCACTTCCTTTTGGGAACTGTGAGTAACAAGTTCTCTTTTCACTGGGAGTGGGGTCCTGTAGTGTTGGCTTTACCACATCTGAAAAATAATAAAACCTTTGACAGGCTGTAGGGTGAACCCATATTTTTGAAGCTTTCAGGGAACAAGCACTATCCTATAGTACGAATGGGCTTGAAAAGCGTTCACATGGTTATGGTGATTTGTTATTAGTGGAAGAAAGACTCCATCTACTGTTGTAAAAAAGTTTATCACATACCCCACATACACACATACACTACACACACACACACACACACACACACACACACACACACACACATATATACACACACCCCACAAAGCCCTCAAAACAGAGCATCTTTAAATCTGCCCAGGGAGAATAATCCCTCCAATATCTTGGCAAAGTGACTATGATCAAGCTGTCTGAAATTTGCCCCCAAGGAGCGGCTTAGAAGTCCTGAGCTAGTTGAGCTTAATATTCCAACTTTGCATGGCTCCACTTTCTTTCTTTTTTTTTTTTTTATTTTTTGGTTAAATACTTTCACCTTAGTATTCACAGGGCCAGTAAAAATCAGGATGACATTCTCCCCACTCCACACCTCATCTGGCCAGTCTGCCTCAACTTGGGCTAGGCCAATGGTCATTTCTGAA